TATAGAGATCATATTATACTTCCTACAAAGCTAGTGGTAGACCTAAATATGGACTGGTTCAGTTCATGAGAAAAATGTCATCTGTGGCATAAGATAATTCTCAGTATAGAAAAATCCTAGCTATAAACCCCAGGAGTGAGTTCTTGCAGATTGCCTGCTTTCCTCAATCTTTGAATACAAATTTATGGTGCTTTCAAAATCCATAACTATAGAAGCAAAAGGATAAAAATGATATTTAAACAATAACCAGCAGTTGCAAAACAGTAACAACCATTTGACAGAAATCCCTAACATTTCGCTCTAGGGTTTTGAGATTAACTCAATTTGTTAATAAAGGCCTTGTATTACCACACACAACTTTTTTTGTTTAGAAATTAATGTGGGCAGTTGATTTATACTGACCTAATTTTAGAAAGATAAATTATGAATGTTAAAATGAAAACAAAGCAGAAGAATCAGCCAACATTGGGAACATTATTAATTTAATTTAAATTAAATCAAATTTGCATTAAGCCAGGAACATATTGTTTGTAAATGATGAGGCTTCTGTGTACTTTTGTACAACTTTAATGAGGAAGAATCATACTTGATTAAGCATTGGCTTTGCTAATTGAGGAACTAGGACCAAAATCAGTCCTTTTAATGGGAGTTTAAAAATATCTGCATTAAAATACTGCATTTATCCCTTCCACAATAATCTAACATTTGTAAAGAAAATCTTATACTTATTGCTGTAGTCAGTAGAAAATGATCCAAAATGAGTGTAGTTATAACTTATACAATTTTAGTGTATGCCTTAGTGTGTTGCTGTCAAAACACCAAAAAAGCCACCAACAAGTGTATATTAGTTGTTCCCTATTGCTGCTGTAATGAATTACCACAAACTTAGTGGCTTAAAATAACACAAATTTGTCACCTTTACACTGCTGGAGGTCAGAGGTCCAAAATGGGTCTCATGGGGCTAAACTCCAGGTGTTGGCAGAGCTGTGTTCCTCTTGGAGGCTCTAGGGGAGAATCTGTTTCCTCACCTTTTCCAGCTTGCTGAAGCAGCCCACACACCTTTGCTCTTTGCCTTTGGCCAGCAGTCCTGTCACCCCAACCTTAACCTCCACCATCACATCTCCTTCTCTAACTCTCCTGCCTCCCTCTTTCACTCGTAAGAACCTTTGTCATTACACTGGCCCCTCGGATAATCCAGGATGACTCCCATCACAGGATCTTTGATTTAGTCATATCTGCAAACATACTTTTGTCTTGTAAAGTGACATGTTTCTTGGTCCTGGGGATTAGGATGTGGGCATCTTTGGGTAAACATTATTCTTCCTACCGTGGGGTGTTATCCCTTAACATTTCACATCTCCGATGTCTAGATAGGAACTTTTTTATTTTTATGGGGGATATTTAGGGGACAGTGAAAAGTGAGGAGAAGATACATATAAAAAATTTTTTTAGAAACTAAACAATAAACACTTATGGGTAAGTAGACTCTAAGTGGTAGACACTCCTAAAATATTTTTTATTCAATAAATGAATACATGGGAAGTATAGAAATTCTGGATACCATAAAATTTTAGTTATCTGGGACCTCAGGGAATAAATTTCCTGGAGACATTATCCCTTAACAGTCAAAATTTAAAAAATATATATATATAACTGACCTCCATGGGAAAAGTTCTGATATTCTCTTGTCAAATCTCCCCTTTAATTTGTATTATTATGGAAATAAAGCTCATGGGTAAAAAATTTAAGATATAAATGAGCTTCTAGTGAAAAGGAACTTTCCTTTGCCATTCCTCCCTCTTTTACTCCTCAGAGGCAATGACTTCTCATTATTTCTGTTCCTAATTTATTCTCAGGTCACCCTCAAATCTCTAAATAATACGTTTATCCTTTTTAAAAAATATATCAGCTTTACACATCGACTACTGACCTGTGGCTAGGATTTGTCTCCCTTCCACCACCCTTCTCTCCTCACACCACCCTGTACCCTGTAATCTCACACTGTTCTGTTTCTCCCTCAGTCAACTCTGAAACTTGGTACTGTACGCTCAGATCTACGTTTCTTGTTCTGTTAGTGGTGGAAAGTTTCTCTTATACTCACTTCAACCTTTATTCTCTTTTTCTCTTTATTCTCTTTTTAAAAATAATTCGGAAAGTATCTCTTGGTTTCTCCTTTCATACAATAAGAATATTTACTTGCCTACCCTGCCTTCCATGTCTCCCTCCCTTCCACGTCCCAGTGGCTTACAACTGTACTCGTACTTTTACATCGTCAAGGTTGATAGTATTCTTTCTGAGATTTTGTAATCTGCTCTGAAACATGACTAAAATCATCCTATGGAGTGATTTTGAACATTGAAGACCAATAAATGGTGTATATTATTTACTTCTGTAAGTATTGTCTACTGCAGAGTGGAGGAATATATTAGAATTAAATTTCCTTCTCTATTAGTTCAATGTCATGATCCGAGTGCCACTGAAAGGCACTCCCTTCACTGCTTTCCTGTGTTGCATTCACTCTTTTCTGGGTCACATTTCTCCTCTTTCTCGATTTACTTCTCATTTTGCTAGAGTTAAAATTTCTGAGTCATCAGATACCTGCAAGTTTCTGTATTCCTCCTACATATTTATCTGATGGGTTGGCTGCAAATAAGATTCACTTTAAATGGCTTTTTCCCAGGATTTGGAATGTACTGCTCCACTGATACCAGTCTGATTCCTGAACTCTTAATAGGTGACCCATTTTTCTCTCTGCAGACATTGAGCATCTTCTCTTTATTCTTAAGGTCCTAAGATTTAACAGTGATATATCTAAATATGGGTGTTTTTCATTTGTTAGAGGGTTGAGGATTTTACCGTTTTCCACGAGACCCTCTACCTCCTCCTCCTCTTAACTTTCTGATCTCATCACAGACTACCACCCCCGCTCACCTTGCTCCAGCAGACTGGCCTTGTCTTTCCTTGAACATGAATCAGGGTCTTTTCACTGGTCATTCCTTTGGTGTAGAAGGCCCTTTCCTGGGTTGTCTGCTTGGGTCACTCCCTTACTTCCTCAGGTCTTTGTCCAAATGTCACTTTCTGAAATGGCATCCTATTCTGACTGTCTGATTTAAAATTGCAATCTCCCAGCCATCCAAGCATTCCTAATCCTTTCCTTCTGCTTTAATTTTCTTCATAGAAACTATCACTTAGTTGCTTCCTAAGTAAAAACTATATGCAAACACACACGTATGTATATGTATGTTTATACATATATATCCATATATGTATATATATTATATGTATACATATATGTATTTATGTTTGTATATGAATGTGTTTACATATTAAATATGTAGGTATATACTTTGTATTAGTTTGCCAGGGTTGCATAACAAAATGCCACAGACTGGTGGCTTAACTACAGAAGTTTATTTTCTCACAATTCTGGAGGCTAGAAGTTTGAGATAAAGGTGTTGTTGGGATTACTTTCTTCCCAGGCCTCTCTTGGTAGTTTATAGATAACTATCTTTACCCTGTATCTTCTTCATATGGTCCTCCCTCTGTAACACTGTGGCCAAATTTCCTTTTCTTGTAAGGATACTAGTCATGTTGGATTAGGGCCCACCCTAATGAACTGCTTTTAACTTAATTACCTCTTTGCAGATCCTGTCTCTAAGTATAGTCACATTCTGAGGTACTAGGTGTTAGGATTTAAACAGATGAATTTTGGAGGGACACAATTCAGCCCATAACATATTTCCTTTTTATATTCTATATTCCCTAGCTAGAATGTAAGCTTCATAAAGGTGAGAGATTTTTTTCTCGTTGGTCTGTTTTGTTTATTGATATATACCCAACACCTAGAACAATGCTCAGCACATAATAGATGCTCAATAAATAATAATGAATAGGCTAGCCTCTTGATAAGTTCTTTCAATCTGAAGAACTCATGTTTTTTCTTATCTCTGGAAAATTCTTTTATTATTTCATTAATTCAACTCCCCCTCCTTCAATTCTCTATAATATCTTTCTAGTGTTAGTTGAATTTTGGACCTATTTGATTAATACTCCCTGTCTCCTTTTCAGTGAATCTGTTATTATTCTACTTTTTGGGGGGAATTTTCTTTAACCTTAATTCCAAATACTTTTATTGAATATTCTTTATTTTGGGAAATATATTTAATTTCTAAGATCTCTCTTCTTGGTCCTTTTTCATGGCTTTCTGTTATTGTTTTATGGGTGCTATATCTTTGCTGATCTTTCTGCATTTATTAGATCTTATTTCTCTTTTGTTCCCTCAATTTTCTGTTTCTTCCTAGGTCATTATTTGTTATTGCTTATTTTGTCCTTTCTCTTCCACCTTGCTTAAGTATTTTTCATCCTTAATTATCTTGCAATCGTTGGTTACATTTTTATTTAATAATGAGACAATAAAAGTACTAGAGGTTTATTTTAAGGGTAAGACCTTTTGCCTGTTGATATTACTTTATGATCAGCTAGCTGTTACTCTGGGGGCTTTCTTCAAGGTATAATGCAGAGATCTTTGATTTAGGGACCAACACCTACAGTGGCTGCCTTAGGTCTCCCCAAATGGGTTATTCAATTTTCTTAGATAAGAACTTTTGACCTGGTTGCCCAACTTGCAATGTATGGGAGAATGGAATCAATGGTTTCTTATATATGCATTCAATAAATATCTTTGTTTTTACTTTCACTTCCATTGATTCAAAGACAACACCATTATTCTGCAGTTTATCCCATCCTCCTACTTTTAAAAGAACAAAACAACCAAGCAGTCAAAAACACACTCTGTCTTTTCCATGTTGATTTATCTGATTGTCATTTTCTCAATCATCCAGGAATAAGCTAGAAAGAAATGTAATGCTAGAAAATGTGTAAAGTTATTGCAGTCTGAGTCAGAGTAAGGTTAGCTTCAAGTATGTAATCTTCTTGTGCTCAGACCCTCTAGTTTCTTTTTAATGTACCTCACTAACCTGCATTTTTCTGATTGCATACAGGTCTGCAATTAAGGCCTTACGTCCTGGAGGTCTACTCGTGTACTCTACATGCACACTTTCCAAGGCAGAAAATCAAGATGTAATCAGTGAAATTTTAAACTCTCACAATAACATCATGCCTGTGGACATTAAGGGAATAGCAAGGACTTGGTCCCAAGACTTCACATTTGCTCCCACTGGCCAGGAATGTGGGCTCTTGGTGATTCCAGATAAGGGCAAAGCCTGGGGCCCAATGTATGTAGCCAAATTGAAAAAATCATAAAGCACAGGAAAATGGCAACATGAATTTTGTAAACTATGTTGATGTGTTATTATATTTATTTTTCTGAGCTCACTACGTATTAATATTTAAAATAATTATGCAGTCACTTTCTCTGGGTCTGTTTGGAGTCCTATTTATTTAATACTTTAGCATCTCAGAATCTAGGCTTGAAAATCAGGTGTATTTTTTTCCTAGAAATATATCTGTTGCAGTGATTTAAGGTGGTGCAGATGGTGTTTGTTGTGTATAATAAATCTTCTGTCTTTTACTTGGCATTTTATAGTTAAATTAATCAGAATACATGGTTTAATGCATAAAATGTTTAGAACTACAGTCTATCCGTGATGTTGGTGCTTTGAACCTTTAAAAATGCACATTTGCCATGATTCTTACTGTTTTCATCTTTATCAAATATATAGATTTGTCAGTCCCCCCTGCCTTTTTCTGTAAGAGCTGATTGGCATTCTAAGACTAACTTTTTAAACAGATTATTTCTAATTCTAACAAAATAGGTTTCTTATTTGTGAAGTTGTTTTCTGTTAAGGACTATCTTCTGTTTACTGCAAAGGTCAGTGACTCTATTGACACCAGCTTTATTTCCCCCACTTTGTTTTTTGTATTCACAAATACAAATTGAAAGGCTAAATTATGTAGAAAGGCCTTTAGAACAGCAGATTCTCATGCACGTGTTTTACTTTCGACATTCAGCTTATAGAATAATGGAGTCTATCCAGCAGGCTATAAAGCAAGTACTTGAAACAAAACCAGAATGATTAATAACTGCAATAACTGAACTATATTTGGAGAGTTTTGTTACATAATTGCAGTCATAATGAGTGCTAGAGAATCTGATTATCTTACAGTTGCAATCTGGAAGAGCTTTTTATTTCACTCTGTTATAAAATGTTATATGAGAGTATGATGTCACATATTAATGCACAAGAGGGAGATGCCTAATGAGAGTGGATTATACTATTACCAAAACCCAATACCATTTACTAAGTGACTTTCCCTGTTTACTTATATCCAGGGAATATTGTGTATACTTCTTTATATGTATTTAGGGTTTTAACCTCAGTTTGGGATCATGCATTTTCTCCAGAAATTACTTTACTTAGAGTCCAAACATATTTTTCCAACTATTTAAGAAAAATTATGCAGCATACTTCAAAAGGCTATATCTACTTGGAAATTAGCTTTAAAAAAAAAAAAAAAAACTCTGTTTATAGAAATACTAAATTCTGCTCAAGCCAGATACTTTTGAATTGTTCATTACATTCTGTACATTTAGAGTAAAGACTATTTGCTCATTAACTATTCTTTGTTTTGCAAGCATGTGTAACTGGGTTCCTATAAATGGAAAGTCCCAAGAAGAATTTTTTTTCTGTACCTTCATTCTATTAACCATTTCTTTCTTTATATTCAACCTGTATGTTTAGAGTAAAGCTAGTTCTCTTGGACTCAATCAAATATATTCAGTTCATACAGAAGGTTAATGATGATGGAAAAGATTTCTGTTGTTTTTTTGCGTTTTTGTTTTGTTGTTTGTTTGTTTGTACTTATTGGTTTATTTTTTAATTTGACATTTTGTCTTCAGATACCATAGGTTTAAAAAGTGGATTTCTTCTGTATAGGTTAATTACAAAGTAAATTTTCAATGTACTTTGTTGAATGTCATTATTTTCCCCATATAATACCATGAAGCTTAACCTGAATACTTGGTGTGCCATTGGATTAGACTTTCCTATGATTACTGGAGAATGCATATATGTATTTATATATTATGTGTACCATTTTATTAACAATAATTATAATGAAAAGCTAACATTTATTGAACATTGACTATTTGATTAAAAATTCTTTATATATATTATCTTTTTTGATCTTTAAAACAAATCCAGGAGTGAGTATTATAACCCCCTTTTGTGACTCAGAAAACTGAAGCTCGGTGCTATTTGTAGCTTGCCAAGACTACACTGGTAAGTAAAGGGTGGAGGCAAGATTAAAACTGACTCCAAAGCCCAGGCACTTCTCCCTACACTGTGCTGTCTCACAGAGTGTAGGTAATAGAAACACTCAGGATTAACAAATAGTTTTACCCCTATTCTTCATTGTTCAGTTTTTCACTTTTATGCAATTACCTATTCCCAGGGCACCAAAGAATTAATCAATACTTGTAAAAAACCCTTTGAATTAGTTCATGGCACGTTCTAAAGGAGTACTCTTGTGATTTTAATACCCAGAAATCTCCCTTGGAGGTATTCTGTGCCTTCCTTTTTCTGCAAATGCTGAATTGAAGAATGGAAATTTGGAGCAGATTTGCAGTGTCAATGGAAAAGCTAGGAGTAATTGATATTACTTTCTGTGGCCTTGAGTTACTTTCAAAATAGATTTATAAAAATTTAGGTTGCTTACCAACACATTAACTTCTCCCTGCCATCAGCATGCTGAACAGCTACTAGTTTCAGAAATAGACTATGAATAAATGTAATGCATTTAAATGGTTTGTACTGAATTTTTAAAGCATCAGATATTATCTGTGGTTTGAAATCAAAGTAGCCTACAGTTCTTTATCTTATTTTATATATATATATATATATATCCCTATAGCCTTATATTCAAGATTGCATATTACTCCTTTTGCAGTATTGTGAAAAACAATCCTTTCACATAATGTGGGTAGGTATAAAATAATATTAATAGCTACCTGAGCACTTGTTATGTGACTAAATAATCACAAATCTAATAGACCCTTATCAAAGAGGGCTTTATGCCTGTGAGATAAGCATCAGATAATCTGCATAGACTAACGCAACTCATCTGGAATACAAAAAGAAAATTGGAACCAATAGCAATGATTTTATTAGATGCCAAGAAGTCCTTTGATGCAATTGAATGAGACTACTTGTATTATGTGTTAGGTAAATTTGGCTTTGGGGACAAATACAGTAGATAGCACAATTTATTTTCAACACTCTTATGTGGTTCAAATCAATGGTTTACAATCTTCCTTTCCCTACCTTATTGCTGCAATGGGGAGGGAAATAAGGATGATGCCCATTACTGATGTTACTCTTCAGACTGACATTGAATCTAGAATATCACACAGATCCCGTGGGCATTTCAAGAATATTCAGATAAAGGTTCACAAGTTAACTAATGTATGCAGATATTCTACTACTTGTACTAAAAGCTCTTACAGCATCTGTCCTGAAAACATTAAAGATCATGTCAGAATTTGGAAGGGCTTCAGACCGCAAAGTCAATGGGAAAGAATCAGAAATAATATCTTGACAGATACTATTGTTTAGTGTGTGACATTTAAAATAAAATAAAAATTTTTGAAGAATTGATATGAAATTCTCATTAGGGAATGATTAAACAATAGAGTAAACAAAACATTTAAAAAATGACCTGTAATTTAGTGCTAAATGTTTTAAAAATAAGTTTTATTAAATCTAAGGAGGAAGAAAGCCTGGTAGAGCTTATATACTACTTTAAAATTTAATTTTTTAATTTATCTATTAACTCCATATCTTTCTGTAACTTTTCACAAATGAAGAAAGTAATTTCCTTAGTCATGTGAGACCATATAGTCATGTTGAAACCCAGTGGAAGCATATGCTGCCTTAGGAAAAAGACCGTTTGCTCCATTGGAAGCTATTTAATGGTATACCTCATGACTCAATTAAGCTTGCTATGGCTTGTCAAAAGGAATTTTACACTGCACATTGCTGTGGAAGAGCCTATTACACACAAATAACTATACAACCTAGCAGAATCAACAGACTAAAAATGTATAGTCTATTGAAAAATAAGAAACAAGACCATAGCACCCAGCTTCTTCTCCTAGTTCTTAAGAACAAGTAGAAATAGAATTGCAGATATTAACAAAAATAGACAAAGAGGGATTACCATTGGTAAAAGGAAAAAAGGGACTGAGTTTATGTCACCTTATAATTAGTAAATTATAGAGAAAAAGATTTTTCAGTTATTTATCCGAACAAGGTGTTAACAACCTTTCCAAATGGTAAACCTTTCCCCACAAGTCTATTAACAATAATCATTGGGGTGAGGGACAGAGGAATGAGAGGATGGGAGGACTTGTGCTGGCTCATGGGTTGATGTTAGCAGTGAAAGGATTACTATGGGCTCATAGCTCAAAGCTGCCAACTTTCAAGAAAAGGGAAGGAGGGATCTAGTGGTAACCATTAGCTCTGATGCCACTGGAAATTGTTCTATGTGGTATCTTTAGCCATGAATAGCCAACAGAACTAGTTATAAGACATTTCTACATGATAGACATTCCTCTTGAATTGATCATAAAAACGTCAATATAAGTCCTAGATTATAACAAATGTGTTTAATAAACACAATAAACATACTCAAGTCAAACTACCTGTGTTCTTCAATAAAAGATTGCTTTGTGTTATATCCTACTACAGGTAATTTCTGTTAAATCTTCTATGTAAAGCTGTAGCTATGCCCTTAGATGCATTATTTTCAGCTATCTAGTAAACCTAGTCATATAGAGTTAACACAGTAGGTTCTTTGTCCATCCCATATTATTGAGTTGGCAGAAGCAATTTGATATAATTTCCGAAGAGGTAATTTTCAAATGAGAAAATGTCTGATTGGAATCTAAGACATCATTCTGGGCCTATATTGAGTCAGTCAAGCTTATTTCAGGAGCAAGAGACACTATGGTAAGGCATGAAGGGTTTAGTATGCACTGCCAGGAAGCACATCACAACTCCCAATAAAGTTGAGGTGTTCATCTATCTGGTCACACCCTACATTCACTGAGGACCTTAGTCTAGTCCGTATCTTCTCTATCAGAGCTTTTGCTACCCTCCAGGCAGAATTCAACATCTTTGTGGAAAACCTATACAATATCCTACCTTCCTGGTTCCTTGATTGCCTCTCCTTCAAAGGTTTTTGTCTCCATTATCTTTAGCAATCACACTCCTGGGCACTCCCTTGAACCTGGCATTATCTAG